ATTTACAGCTAACTTTAGCTCTGTGAAAAGGTTGGACACCCCCATAAAGGTGTGGGAACTTGCCAAGTGTAATTTTTGTCTAGTGAGAAAAAGAAACACCCGAACACCGAACTAAACATTGTGCTGAAGGCATTCTTTGAGTACCACAGATCTTTCCCTGGTACGTTAGAGATTTTCCTGTGGTACCGTAAACGTCCATGTGATACCATAAATGTCCACCACTCTTTGTTCATGCATGCCCTTTGCATTTAGGAAAGAACAGCTCTTCTCAGGCAAATCTTGCAGTACACTTTTAGTCTTGGCGTAATAGTTCACAAGAGGCAAAAGGACATTTTTATGCTAGATGGCTCAAAATACTAAGGAACAAAAATGTGGGTAGGGCCGGGCTGTGGTGGCACAAGCTTTAATCCCCGCACTAGGGAGGCAGAGGCAGGAGGTTATTTTAGAGGACAGCCTAGTCTACAGGTGGAGTTCCAGGACAGCCAGGGCTGTAATACAGAGAAGCCGTGTCTCGTGTCTCACAAAAACAAAATAAATAAATAGATAAATAAATAAATAAATAAAATGTTGGCAGTACCAGCCCTATTTGCAACTACTAAATATTTTGCTAGGATAGCATTTTAAGTGTGTTAGATTTTTCTTTGGTTTAGTGAGATTTTGATTTGTTTTGGTGTGGTGGTGGTTGCGGTTGTATTTGTTTCTGTTTTCTCACACTTCTATATACAGTATTTTTTGGTGGTGTGATTTCTTGTAGATTTTTATGTAGTTTGACTACAATTTGATTAGGTATATCAGTAATTTAGATTGTTTTAAAGTATAATAGTAATTCTACTCAGCAGTTTAAATATCACATATGTTTTTGAAAAAGTACAGCTTTCAGAATGCAAACAAGGGAAACAAATTCAAGAAGGAAAATAGAAAAAAAATGAGAACAGTTAAAAGATGATTTTACCTTTAGCCATGTGTATGTTGTGTGAATGTGTGCCTGAGTGCAGGTAACTACCAATGCCAGAGGCATAAGATCCCCTAGAGCTGGAGTTACTGCCACTTGTAAACCCCACGATGTGGGTGTTGTTCACCAAAATCTACTCCTCTGCAAGGACAGTACACACTTTTAACTACTGAGTCGTATCTCCAACCCAGGATTTTAAATTTTTAAAAGTGAGACAAAATCCAAAAGTATTTGTTTTTCTGCTCCAGGTAAAATGTATTAAGGAGGTATTTTATTTTACTTTTTAGTTTTGGAGGTTTTTTTTTTTTCTTGATTTTTTTTTTGAGACAGAGACAGTCTCACTATGTAGCTCTTGCTGTCCTGGAACCAGGCTGGTCTCAAACTCACAGATCTGCTTGCTTCTGTCCCCTGAGTGCTGTGATTAAAGACATGGGAAATATGTTCTTAATAGCTTTATTTATAAGTAAAAGTTGAAAATCAGCCTGAGTTACATAGAGACCCTATCTCAAAAGAAAAATATGAATAGGCAAAAATGCTGTGGTGTTTGGAATGAGTGTGGCTCCTATAGGCTCATAGGGAGTGGCACTGTTAGGAGTGTGGCCTTGTTGGAGTAGGTGTGGCCACAGAAGAAAACTAATTGGAGGCTTGCTTATAGCTTCAGAGGATTAGTCCATTATTTAATGGTGAGGAGCATGATAGCCAGCAGGCATGGTACTGGAAAAGTAGCTGAGAACTACATCTTGATCTACAGACAGCAGGCAGAGAGACAGAGACACTGGGTCTGGCATGGGCTTTTAAAATCTCAAAGCCCAGCCTTAGTGACACACCTCCTTCAACAATACCATACCTGCTGCAATAAGGCTTCACCTCTTAACACTTCCTAAACAGTTCCACTAACTGGGGACCAGGAATTCAAACATATGATCCTATGGGAGCATCTCTCATCCAAACTACTACATTTTTTATTTTGATTTTTTCTTTTTTACATACACACATGAACTTGTGTGTTTCATTTTATCAATATGCATATTTATATCCATGTTGTCTATAGGGTACCAAGTTAACTAAAAGCACTCACAAGAAGTAACACACACCGGGCAGTGGTGGCACACGACTTTAGTCCCAGCACTGGGGAGGCAGAGGCGGGCAGATCTCTGTGAGTTCGAGACCAGCCTGGTCTACAAATCTAGTTCCAGAACAGTCCAGTCTCCAAAGTCACAGAGAAACCTTGTCTCGAAAAACCCAAAAAGAAAAAAAAAGTAACACACATTTTAAAACTTATATGATTTTATTACATTCTATTTATTTGAGGCAGGGTGCACATGTGGAACCCTGGGGAAAATGATTTTTTGCTTAATACTTCTTTTTTTTTTTTTTGGTTTTTCTAGACAGTTCTCTATGTAGCTTTGGAGCCTATCCTGACACTTGCTCTGTACATCAGGCTGGCCTCGGATTCACTTCTGCTGGGATTAAAGGTGTGTGCCACCAACATCTGGCTGCTTAATACTTCTAATCGGCCAAGTTTTATGGCATATAAATCTGATCTCATTCTACCAGACATCGTTCTGACGCTGTTATGAAGGGCTAGTGCTTAGGTGAACCTAGGTGTCCAAACTTTGATGTTTTACAATACCTCAAGATTTCAGAAATGTTCAAATTATATCTTTGTTTTATTCTATCTGCTTCAAATTTTACTAGCATGTAACAAAGATTATAGTTTGTGAGTCAGGGAGATGGCTGACAGTAAAAACACCAGCCTCTAAACCTCACAACCTGAGTTCAATCCCCAGGGCCCACATGATAGGAGTAGGGAACCAACTCCTGTAAGTTGTCTTCCAAACTTGTGATAGCACTTGCACCCCCACCCCCATAGAGACACAAATAAGTAAATAAATGTAATGCATTTATTTTAAATTACTCCGTATCAGTTCAGCACAGTAGCTCACACCTGTAATCACGTTACCCAAGGTAGGATAAGAGGCCAGGCCCAGTAGCCAGAACAACTAAGTTAAGCCACCTGCATTCAATAAGTCGATTACAAAGCCAAGTAGACTGGAACCAAAGGCTCCTGAGGAATCTGGTGGCAAGGCAATATGCACACCTCCAGCAATGATAGCTCCACTTCCTTCACTTCCTTCAGAGTTGTCTACAAGGGCAAGACCGGCAGCAGACCCTGCTTTCCCACCCACAGCAGTGAGATCTTTATGCCCACCCAAGAAGGCAAAGCCTTGTCATTTACAAAGCCTACCAGGTTGTGGAGTGAGACCTTTGCAGACATGTCAGCCAAGCAAAGGAGTGGATGGAAAAGGTCTCCGACCCCAGCCTG